AATATGCGTTTTTGCTGGCTGTAGCAGCGCTATAGCGCTGCTACAGCCAGCAAAAACGCATAAAAAACAAAGCATCTCTGCACGCAGCTGCGCATATCAGTTTGCGCGCTAGGGCGGGTTCCCTCCTTCTCTCTGGAAAAGTGAAAAATTAAACAGGGAAATGGATGAGTTCAGTCAATCCGCATCACTGGCAAATCCGTGACAGCTGCCCTGCATTCAGTTCAGCTGCAGATTCATTAACAGCTGCAAACGAAACTTGTCCCGTTCTTTTCTCACTCTGTTTTTTTTCACTCCAATCTTCATTAGCTAATAAACTCAAATTTGCAGAGCTTCAAGCTTTCAAAGAGCGCTTCGAGAAAGGCGAAGGAGATATTCAAGTCGAAAAGACTGAAATTGACATACGCGCGGGAGATCTTAGTGATATTAAATCTGCATTCGAAAGGGTAAACTTTCGAGACTTGCTTAACGTCAAGTTCATTTCTGAATAACATTGGGGCCCAGACCATTGTGGCTGGATTATAGTAATCAGCTAAAAATGGTAAATTCATCTTATGAAGAACTGGAGACCGATATCTTTCAAAAATGCAAAGACATGTCACAGAAAGCTGTGAAATAAGTTTTGAGGCACTAAATTCTGCAGATAAATTAAAGAAGTCGTTAAAGTAGGAGAACTGATTAATCGAGGGATCGCCACTGTGATTGCTCAGCACGGTGACTGCAGCACTTTTTGTATTAAATTTAGCTGCAGTAAAGCACCACATACTCATCGGGTGGTGTTTAGGCAGACGACGATTCTGATATGACTCCGGAAGAAAGAGCTGAACTGAAGAAAAAGCACATCGAAGAAGAATTCTTACGGTACAAACTTGCAAGACGAGCAGCTGCTCAGAGAGAAGCCGCTGAAAAAGTAATCTGAGTTTTTGAAAATTATTCTGCCGGGAAGATAATCGAATGTCAGTCACGTCTTGTGCAGAATGACGACATCTCGTTCAGGATTTCATAAACGCTTAAAGCAAGTAGAAGCAGTAGAAAAACTGTTTTTGTCAGAACTTTTTTCAGACAGTAAACGACACATATATGGTATACTATCCCTTTAATATATATACAGTGATAGATGAGGGATGTTCTAGTGCAAAAAAAATTTTTTTTTAAATATATTGGTAATGACAGCAAAGAGGAATTAACAAAACTAAGCAAATAGCGCTTTGATTTCTTTTTGAGATAATTTCCTTACCAAACAACTGCCCCATAAGCTAAGGATGAAGGAGAGAAAATGGGAATTGGAAAAAGCTCACTGGAAACTGTGTTAGAGAGCATGGAATTTGCGCCTTCAGTTTTTATTGGTTTAAGTGCGCGCCCATTTCAAAGTTCAGTTCAAACCATTTTCGTAACCAAAATTGGAAAGAATGGATTTCTCATCTTAGAATTTACTTGCTTCTTAGTCTTCCTAAATGCCGGTGGCAGTGAATGCCTTTTTGATTCTGCAGGCCGCTGGCGAAGAGGGAGGAGGAGTGGAAGCAGGAGCGGACATTGAAGTTGGCACAATCAAAGATCGTTTCGAGACAGGCGAAGCTTTCAAAGCTGAACATAAAGGCTTGTCCTTCATGCACTGAACTTTTCTTTTTTTTTTTCAGTTTAGGAATTTGATTTATTAGATGGTCATCGTGTTGGCTGACAAAAACTACTAGTCTTATTCTGTTCACGATTCGATGAAAGTGTCACCAAATTTTGCGGGCCTTATTTTTGTACCTTTTTTAGCAGGTTCATACGCGGAATTTACTTTAGTATCGTTGCATACATAATGCATTGCTATCTGAG